GCTGAGTTGATACTCGTGCCGTGACTCACCAGCAATGTCACACAGGCCACGCTTCTAGGCTATCTACGCTCCAGTGAGTCCTGGACTGCTGCAATGCCAATGGTTTGATCCAAGGTGACATACCTTGATGGCTGGGTCGTTGGGATCACTCGGGATAGTCGTCAATGCAGCGATGGAGGACATCGAAGTAGCTTGTGGAAATGGATTGCCTCTGTCGCTTGCACGTCCTCCTATTTACATCTCCCTGTACCATGCCTCACAACTACCTCATGGTGGTCTGTTACAAAGCATTCCCATGACATCATCGACGTGTCAAGCTGCTACTGCAGTTATTTGCCGTAATTTTACGGTGGGACATACCCATTGAAGACCCCCATTGCACCCTCAACCTGATCCCTGTTGCATAAACAGACATGGGCCGTAAAGTTACGGTGGGTGTTCCCACGCTCCTTCCTAATCTGGTAACCCAAAGCCAGCTCTAACCCTAGGCATTTAGTAAATCACCTTATAAATACCCTCCACCTATCCTATCCACCACCCAAGGACTCCATCCCAACATTGGATGGGGCGGCGGCGGCGGCGTCGAGAGTGCCGAAGCAAGCCAGAGCACAACGCGAGACTTAGCGTCTCGCGCTCGTCGGCTCGTCTCCGAGGCTGTCTTGCTCGGGCTCTACAGCATAAAAAAGAGTCAATTCAAGACGGTTCCTAGGGGTTTCATACCTGCTGAGTACGATGAGATACTTACCGAGGCGCAATTTCATGTGTGTCGGCATCCGCGAGCGACTTTGCTGTCGCGCCACAGCCGCCACTGCCGCCACCGCGCGCGTGTGGCTGTGTCACCGCTTTAGGCAATTGTCGGCGAAACTCGACCAAACAAAATTTCTTGTTCTGTCCTCTCTATTTCTGCCGTCTCGTAGCACATTCTTAGTCTGATAGTTTACTAGCTAGTCACTAAGTTAGTCTTTCTTTGAGACTTGCCCTTGTTGTTCTCCCTGTACCGTCCCTTACACCCACACTCATTCATAGCATACAGCTGTCTTAATCCAATGCACACTGCATCTTGAGATGTGTTAAAGCAAGGATGGGAAGCCGTTCCCAGCTCGGGAGCCACAGACAGATGTCCGGGCAGCTTCGTAGCATATAAATACATGTTGGCAGCTCATGAACAACTGAACCTGACTTGAATCGCTTCAGAATTGACCGAGATCAAGCGGTGGCAATATATACTGCACTTGTGCAGATGGCGCTTGAACTGCAAAACCAGCAGGTCATGCTGGCCTCTCTGGTGGCCTTACAATATGGCTCTACACACTTGAATGAGGGTGTAGAATCATCCCTGACACCAGCGGACTGAGTACTGGCTAAGCACCAGCTGTCCGATCCCTCCTGATGTTTATCTCAGAATAATAGTAATTCTGTAGAAACTCAACTGTGGCATGGGAAAGGTGCGGTGGCTGATCACAC